TTTGATTTAATTCTCGGCAAACTCCCAAAGAACGTGGCGCCAACACACGCAAAAACTAGTTTTTGAAACTTTCTTTTATTCATATGGCCGAATTCCAAAAATTATCAGTTCCCCACAACGAGACCGAGTCGCATCGAATGACACATCATGTGTCTCGATTGGTGCACGGAAGTGGTCTAGTTGTGACTCGGAGTTGATACTGTACAGGGATATATTTTTTTCTTTCATAAAATCTGTTTCTTAAATACATCTGGAAATAAGATCATGTTGACAATTGCGAAAATATGAGTCATTTATGTGTAATTTTGCGCGAAACACAGGCATATTACTTTTTAAATCCATGTTTTCTCAAAAACGGCAACAAATGTTTTCTTTAAATTTTTTTCTTATATGTAATAACTAATAAGAGATTATGAAAAATATGGTGCTAGTCCTATTTTCCGTGAACTCTCGGTTTTTTCGAAAATAAAATTTCGAAATTACAAAACTGAAGAAAGCTACTTTGCCTTAAACGAAGTCTCTTGTAAACAAAACTCTAAAATCGTCATGTACAATTGTTTTGCTGTTTTTTAGAACAGATTGTTTGCTGAGCTGATTTTTTAGAAAATATGTTTTTAAAATTTTTTGATTGCCTCAACGGCAAGGTCTTCAGCGACCTTAATTAGTCAACAATTAAATTCAACAATGACTGTAATTAATTACACAATAAAGTTACATGATACAGTTAATTTCATAATACAAATACAATATAAAACAGTTTACAATTTTACAATGTTTATCAAGTTACAATTTTGTCAAATATGAAAATTTCTACCTTCAATTTTGTAGTTTTGAAATGTTTGCAATTTTCAAAACTACAAAATTGAAGGTAGAAATTTTCATATTTGACAAAATTGTAACTTGATAAACATTGTAAAATTGTAAACTGTTTTATATTGTATTTGTATTATGAAATTAACTTGAAGGTCTGCCTTTAACGAATAATTTCATTAAGGAAAAATCCCTATCTTCAATATTGCAGTTGTACGAAAACGCTGAAAAAACATTGAACTTCTGCAATTTTAAAGAAATCACGGACTTCGGACGAAAATGAAACCTGCGCCATTGTCTTACGCGTGCTTTACGACAGCCGAGGATCATATCTTCTATTTAGAATGCTTTCCTTTTGTTACGTACGGTTCTGTAGTCAAAACGTGGAAAATTAACATGGCTGATAATGTGAGCTGGACATTGTAAAACCATACACATCTGTAATATAACACTCCGCTTTCCCTCACTTTCCTGCGCAGACGCGCTAACTCAGAAAATAAGTTATTTCAAAGAAAATTTTTCATTTCCAAAAGAAAAGAAAAAAAGGTATAAAATACATACATGGTAACTAGAATGAGAAGATCTGTGCCAATTTGAAGCACTAGTTAATAATTCTGATACAGTGTGCTTTGTAGTTTTTGAAGGGCTTTGCGGCTTTATTGGTATATACTTAATAAGTGATCTGCAAAGAAATTTTTTAAGAAAATTTATCATGTGACAACACAAGTCGGATATTCTGTACAAGTGTGTTCAAGAACCAATTAGTAGATGTGATATAGGGAATTTCTTCATGCCAATCCAAACACGAGTATTGCAGTTAACTCTCTTAATGAGATCTGATAAGTCCACATCAATACCTACTCGTAATTGTGTAACTGGATTTTAATCACCGGACATTACAGAGTAAGGGTTGAGTTGTTCTCCTCTGCATTCAGTCTTCGGTATCACATTTGTTTCCTGATAGTGGCTCCTGAATTATGAGGAATATGAAGCATTGAAGCAACTAACATTCAATGTAAGTACATTGCGTATTTTGTGAAATATTTCGAACGAAATAATTTAACGTGTACATACTGGTTCATGAATTCTTTTTGTGGAAGTGCTATGCACTAAAAAGAGTAAATATTATAAAACAGAATTTAAACGTAAAAGTCAAATGAAACCCCTGTTGTTTACACCGAATTATTCCATTGTCCAGAAAACTAAATTTGGAAAATCGTTTTCCTATTTGAATGTATATTATATGAATGTACATAAAATATTGTTTTTAGGCAAAAGAAAATGATTATTAAAGAGATATTATCAAACTGCGTTAATGAGCTCATAAGGTTAAATAATGATATGAATTTTCAAATTCACGATTTTAAAGGCTAAAGATATTATCTACCTTTTTTCAGGAATATATATAACGCAGTTAGAACTAGAATGGGTCCTCTCTCAATTTTGCTTTCTCAACATTAGCGCCTAAATATTGGTAGGTTTATTACTTCATCCCATACGTAGTATAAAGTAAAAGTAATAGTTCACTTACGTAGAATACAACACTTTATGAAATGAGACGGAAAACGAAAATATTTCGTCAGAAAAACTCGAGTTGTGAGCCTCACACCGAAAAAAGTGAATAACTCTAACTCCTATATGCAGTAAATTACTTGAAAGTAATTTAGAGGAATCTCTAAGACGTATTTCCAGAATTCGCATTTAGGGGGACCTTTGATTACAAACTAATGGTGCTACAGAGGAGCACAGACTTTCTAGTACTTTTTATTTTCTTGTTCTCGGCGTCTAAAGGTTTACTTGGTCCTTTCGTGGTATCAACAATTCATCTCGGCTGTAATAAACAAACAGCACGTTCACCACCACAAACACATCAGACACTTATCTCTGTCCTGGACCTTTGGCATAATTGCTCTTGGTCCCAACTCAGTGCTTTTGCCATTTCTCTGGGCGAGGGATCGAGTATCTCAAATAAACACACAGATGGCAGTACGCGTCAGGCCACGGGATTATGGAAGGATAATGATTTTATAAATGAGTACATGTCTAAAATGAATCGCCTATTCCTAGACGAATAATTGTTGTTGGAAACAATATGTTGAGCTCATTAAGTCCAAAAGTAGACTTTGGTGAAAACTGATATGTATCTCAAGTATTTTTCCATACATTTCCATTCTTAGGAACTTTTTAATAAAAATGTCACGTCTGAGGAGTGTACAAGACGAACGAGAATAGCTGCAGTCACGCGATCTGCTCGAGTTTTTCAGCGAATCGAGAAGGTGCCAGTACTTACGCAGCATGAACTTCCATCATCACGGAAAAGAGATACTTCATCAACATTTTCATATTATTGTCGACATAAGATGCATGTTTATAGAATACACAGGTTCATTTGTCGTCGAATAACTCGTTCTTCAAATGGTCAGTTTTTTAACAATGTCATGTGGTACTAAAATCACTATAAGAGGGCAGTTATTGAATTCCTCTTTTCATTTAACCTTGTTGGCGTCAAAAAATTAACCGGTGTTGCAAGACAGAAATTGAGGTAAGTGGCTGCCGAACGATTGTACGTTCTATTACAACATCTTCAGCATTACGGACAATGATTGGAATACTATATTATGTCATATTGTATTACTAATCAATATTAAGAATACGTTATATATATAATATAAGGAATGTGTTTTTCCGAGATTGAGGTATCTTATATGTTCGCGATAAAGCAACGTATATTACGGCAGATAAGATGACTCAAAAAAGACCCGGAGTCGTCAAAATTGGAATCGAAAGAACCAAAAAATTAAAAATTCTTTCACTTATTACATTTACAAGTACAAAGTGTTTGAAGACATGTCAACCGTATCACGAACGCGCGATAGTGGTAGTACTTGCGAGTTGGTGATTTGGTGTGAAAATTTACAGGCACAACACGTAAAAATGAAGAAGGCTTTTCCTTTAATCTAACAGTACAACGCCAGAATGCCCTAATCAATACCCACGTTTCCCAGTAGACAGAGCTGCCAGAAGCAAGAAATGATGATCCTTCATCTAAACTAAGTTTATAGGCCGCTAAACTACAAAATACGTAAGAAAATGTATACCTAGTTTGATCTGGTGGACTTATCTGCAGAAATATACCTAATTGTGGCACATCATTCGATGAAAAGCTCGCCGGAAAACTGTGAAACTTCCGCAGAAAAACGTATTTCCAGACCCTGGTACAGGGAAAGTGAATTAATCCTATTCCTATAGATAGTAAATTACTTCCTCTAACTCAAGTGTAGCCAGAATCTGTGAGTCTTTGATATCGAAAACTCGATTGTAGGAAAAACGTGTCTATTCGTCTGTCCAACGTTCGCTTTTAAACGTTAGCTGTGGTCAACGTTAGCTTTTAAACCGGTCAACCGATTTTCTCCAAAATTGACATTTCCCAATCGATTTGCACGAACTCGAGACTATGGGAGTTTCAACAGGATATTTTGATTTTAAGGCCCTTTTACAAAGCCTCAAAACATTTTTTCATTTTTTCTCGAAAAGTCAAATGTTTCACACATTTTTTGGTTAAACTTTGTCTTCGAATAGCGTAAAGGACGCTTGAGAGATGGTTTAGGTCTCAGGTTCGTTAAAATCCCATTTTTTTCAAACATAGCAAAATTATTTTCGGCCATCTTCCTCCAACTATAATATTGAAGATAGATTTTTTCTTGAATGAAATCTGTTTTTTAAAGACAGATCAAATGAGAGATGAAATAAGATGACAATTTTTCGAAAATATGAATAGTTTTTATGTAATTTTGGCTGAAATATAGTCAATTTTTAAACTTTTAAAACATTTCTCCCCCTATAACGACACCAATTTTTGCATTAAATTCTCTCTTCATATGTATCAACGTCCGGTAAAAAATACAGTGCTTGTCCCATCTCAAACTTCCAGCATTTTTGGAAATTGCTAATTTCAAAGTAGTGTGAGAACGTATGTGCTTTTGTTGCACCACTAGGTTGTATAAGGCGATTGCCGAAGACCTGAGCCTCGCCGTTTCAGCTTGAAAGAGCTAAGAGAAGATACAACAGAAGTACAAACTGCTAGGAATAAGTTAGGCGGATTAATATAAATATAGATATTTAGTACTACTGACAGAATGGAATTCAAAACATCCCACTACTTCCAAATGGTAAATTGGATACTTACGTACGTTTAATTTTTGGGTAAAGCAGATGAGATTGTCCTAACTTGTAGAATGCAGCTTCCGAGTTCTCATTGATTAATTGGCGATTCCGGGGGCGTCAACTGCTATTAGTCCCGTTAGTAAAGTGCATGTTATTTTCCTAGGCAGGTGGCGGTTATCTTCTTTATTCTCCAACTGTTTGGTAACGCCGCGTGAAAAATTATATTAAATAAGATTAATCACTGAATCAATTGGTAATTAACAATTTAATTACTAATTAACTCATTAAATAACACTTCCTAAATAAGTACATTACTCCTTAGGATTAAATAACTTTTTCGAGTCTAGGCCAACACGGAACACGCGTAAATCCTACTTTAGCAAGTGCAAGTACCTTTCCGGGAAGAGGGGAGGTAAGCATTTGGCTGAATCCCAATGTTTGCCCTCCAAGTTGCTGGCCATGGGGGTTGGACAATGAGGTGATGCTAATGAGGGGTGAAAGAACGAAACACACATACAGACATACACAAATACACCCATGCTCGAGGCGGGACTTGAATCCGCGGTCTTCTGGTCCGAAACCGTAACGGCACCTCTGCCTTAACGATCTCGGCCACCTGACGGGTGATTAAATAACTACTGAAATATTCTAGCAAAAAAAGTGTGGGGAATTCGAAATTGCAAAATTACATTAAACTAATCATTTTTTTTAATTGTACAAGAACTGTTCTCTTAAAATATATTTCATTTAACAAAAATATATATCAATATTGTACTATTACAATGTTTATTTTTGGTTTGCAGTTTTCGATGATACAGAGTCGCCAAAAATGAGACCCTTTCTATACCGTTGTTTGCTAGATATGAGGGGGGAAAAGTAAAGTAATATGGAAATGTTTCTGAGGAAATAATTGTTTAAACTGTTCTAAAATTGCCCTTGTCTAACGCAAAATTGTGCACAAATGCTCACATTTATGAAAAACTGACCTTATTTGAAGATTTGTTTTTGATTAATAAATATCATTTCGAAATAAATTTCTATCTTCAGTATTGTAGTTGTAGGAAGACATGGAAACATTGAACGTCAGAAATTTTCGAAAAAGCAGAGTGTGCTACGAAAATGCGACCTGTGTAACTTTTTGATCAACCTTTTGCTTATGCTACATTGCTCTGCCAGCTTGCCACACCAGTTGCTCAGTCTCATTCAAAATTATGTGCTTGCCACATGCTGATTACGCTATATTGGCTGTACCAGCTTGACACACCTGTTGCTCACTGTCAGTCTCATTCAAATTTATGAGCGATCGCTGAACAGCTTGTATTCTCTTTGCATTCAGCACGCGAATCCATGCTCTTCCTCCTCATCAACCCAAGACAACGGCGCAGACTCGCTGCGTGGCTAATTTGGATCGCCGCTGCAATATGGCGCGAAGCAGCGGTGGCGTCGCTGCTGCCCTCGCGTGCTCCTTCGGCCGCCGTCGCGTCCGCCGCCTTCTGCCGCGCGTTCGCCGCCTTCAGCTGCGTGCGCGTGACGCGCGCCGCCGCCGCTCGCGTCCTGCCGCTGCCGCCGCCCTGCTCCGTCCCTCTTGTGCTGGCGCGCGACGCGGGCGCGGCGCCGCCGGCGTCGTCCTGCAGAGGCGTGTTTCTGGTCGCGGCCGCTTGGGGCGCTGACGACGTGCGCCGTGAGCTCGCGCAGAGCGCCCTCACGTGGCGCCACCGCGTGCTGGTGGTCGCCGAGAGCGCCAACGCGTCCGGGGACGTTGCTGAGGAACCGCCGATAGAGGTGTATTCGCGATTTGGTTAGTCGATTGTTGATGCGTTTTTTGTTGCTCTCTTTCTTATCGCACGTCGTAGTAACGACATCTAATTGTTTGGAAATACGAAGAAAGAAAACACAAAAATGTTGAAACCTTTTAAATAAAAACATAGTTTTCATAAATAAGAAAAATAAAAATAAATATAGGCGTAATTTAAGTTACATATTTTACTTAGCAAGATAAAAATAAAAAATCCAATTTTCATCCCATTGATTGATAGTGTATTTGGGCGTGTGAAATGTTAAGGTCATTTGTCCCGTAAGTGCAGTGCAAGTGAAGTGCAGTTTCCCCCGCTTCATGGTGCGATCCGGCGCTGACCTACCATCGGCTAACAAGGTTTTTCCCAACAGGTAACTCCCACCAGGGGGGCACCGTCACAACCGGGACAAGCCGTAAGTCCTCACTAGTCCCTCGACATGTGTTGTAGTGAGAGCATGTTGTTTGCAATTGTGTGTATGTAAAGGGTACATATAGGATAAGGAAGAAGAAGAAAAGATCGTAGTCGGTTCATGGCACGTATATCAGGATACTGCTTCGGTATTCGCGTGATATTGATCGGAGAAACCACGAAAATCTACCGATTAAAGCAGCCGGCCGCTGGAATTCTCCAACAGACAGCGGCTGGATCGACCTAGTCACTAGTGATCTACAGAATCGGTAGCATATAAGCGACTGACAGTTCGATGCGCTGTTGCCACACATTACTACCCTCATGGCACACCCCTACGTGACAGATAAAGGAAATCTCAAAACATTAACACTTCCTGCAGGCGACGACGCCTTGATACCATGTTCATAACTTTCGCCAAAGTCGAACCTTATCGCCTCCGCGCCTTCGTGACCAGATGAGATGAGCGACAACGCGGAACACTGGCTGTGAGAAAGTAAACAAATCCTCGCAAGCTGATTGGTTCAGAGAAGGTCACATGATGTGCCACAACACATGGGGATAGAACTTGCTTATACGAGAGTCGTTTATACGCTAGCGTTACTGTGTTGCGGCTACAGTCACTATGGTCCGAACAGTTGTGATTCTGAAGGTAACATAACATAAGTATACGATTTGGATTATTTTATCCGCTTAGTTCAGTGGCCGCTCGCTACTCGCCGAATACCGAAAGTGCGGATCCATCGTTAGCCGAATCAAGAAGTTGAAAAAGGGGCGTTGTCAACACTACTTGCGATTCGGTGAGCGGCCGCTCGCACCTCTCCGAATAGCGAATGTGGGCCACAACACGTGGGCATAGAACTCGCTTATACGAGAGTCGTTTATACGCTAGTGCTAGTGTTGCGGCTACAGTCACTATGGTGCGAACAGTTGTGATTCTGAAAGTGTTTCTTCATACAACAAGTATACGATTTGGGTTATTTTATCCGCGTAGTTGAGCGGCCGCTCGCTACTCGCCGATTACCGAATGTGGGCCACAACACGTGGGGATAGAACGCGCTTATACGAGAGTTGCTTATACGCTAGTGTTACACGTTCTTTCATTTCGGGCTGATCGTGCAAAAGATCCCTTCCCTTCGCCCTCAGGGCCAGACATGGACGCCGGAGGTGCGGGCGAGGGGGCGTGGCCGGCGTTCGCGAGCGAGCTGGGCGACGCGGACGCGCTGCTGGCGCTGGGCGCCGGGCCGCTGTTCCGCGCCACGCCCCCGCTCGCGCCGCGCCGCGCCTTCCTCCCGCTGCTGGCGGAGGCACTTCCGGCGGAAGCGGGGGCGGAGCGCGCTGCCGCCTGGCGCTGGCCGCACCTCGGCGACCGCCGCCTGCGCGTCTCCACCTTCGACTGCCCGCCCTTCTCCTACGTCGACCCAGGTAATAACCGCGCTGCTTGTCTTGATCGGGGGCTTGGATAAACGGGGGATTCATCCGATTTAAACAGAGTGGCTGGTTTTTTTTTCGCGTTTGGGCCAACTCGGATCACGCGTGCCCCCTGCTTTAGCAGGTGCAAGTACCTTTATCTGGGAAGGGGGATCAGCATTTTAGCTTAATCCCGATTTTACCCCCCCAAGGTTGTTAGCCTCGGAGGTATTGATGCTGAGATGATGAAAGTGAAGGATGAAAAGACGGCACATACGTAAAGACATACGCAAATACACCCATGCCCAGGTGGAAGTCGAACACGCGGTCTTCGGGTATGTACTTTCGGTTGCTATGGACACAAGTTTGTTAGGGAAAGACTAGCTCGGGTTTGCGAGAAAGGTAAGACTGAATTTAGGTGGAGCTATTTTAAGTGATATTCTGATTTAAACTCCAAACTAGTAGCGTATTCATGACATTAGGAGATAGACGAAACCTCGGGGAAGGTATCGCCTCGGTGTTTCTAGAATAGGGAACAAGATATCCGCGGAAGTGGAGCAGGTAACACATTGCTGATTGATTGTGGTAACCCGATTTCACGAACAATATATTTTCCTTGTGTTGGAACATAAAAGTGTTTTATTTAAACTTATCGCAAGATAGGGGTGAACGGACAGCGACGTTGGGAAAGTGAAAAAAAGCGGCAGCTGAATTTATTGACCTACCAACGAGCGTGGGTATACGCTGTTGCGGGACATAAGTTCATTATATACGTAGCAGTGACACAAGGTCACATGCTGGAAGGAGACAGGAACGTTGTCATCTAATCGGGAGCTCCAATATCAAACATTTACCTTGTAACGAAGCTGCCAATAGTATGTGTCCTCCCTGCTTTCAGCTCGTGACCTTGAAGTACCACTATGTTTAAATCTGTTTAAATCTGAGTGTAGAGTGGGGACATTATACTGCGATTTTCCCAACCTTGTCCCTGACAGGTATCAGATGTTAACCGTTTCATCCAATCGGGAGCTTATATGGCGCTACAGTGACATCACTAGGGTGACTTTGAAGCTTCCGATTGAATGAAACTGTCAACAGCTGATACCTGCCAGGGGCAGAGTTGGGAAAATCACAGTATAGTTAAAATATTGGCCTCGAGTTTTTGAAGCGGTGCCAACCTCTAGAAAATCTAATTCAACCTCACATTTCAAGTCAATGTGCTGCTGACAAGTTTCTTGACATAGGGAGCACACTGACTTCATTATCTCGAAGGGATGAATATACTCGTATTTGTAATAAATTCCTTCTAATCCGCTGTGTCAGTATAAATAGTAACTAACATGGCAAACTTTATTAAATATTCAAAATACTATAAATCAAACTTTCACTTGGAGATTCTATGAAAAATTGGTGAAAACATTTCTAAACATATAGTTACATAGAGTATGATATATTAATGCCCTTGAATATGACCTTTTCAACCAGGCGTGGCTGAGAAATTGAAAGAGTTGTAGGCTGGATTAATATTTATTCTCTGTACCGTCGAAATTCTTCGAGACGAGATGTGTCCGATGAAGGTCCTGGACTTGTCTTAATTTCTTTACAGTTTGCAGTTTTTTGAGAAAAAACGCAAACTGAGTTTTTCTTCTTTAACGACAAAAATAGCGTCTGTACTGCCAAAGAAGAAGTTTTCATCGTCATGTTATCCGTTCACGTTGCAAACTTTTACATTCACATGTTGATTGTATTAGGTAGGGGGAAGGTGGCCCATGGTTCAAGAAACGCTGCGCGGGTGATACAGCAACTGACCTGGCCAACCACTACCTGTCAAAGATTTAGCAACACCTGTCCATGTACCGTACGTATTATGTGTGTTTATATTGAAACATTAGGTCACTGTAGTTCTTCTCTCTCGGGAGATCCTGGGGGTTGGAGTCCCGACGGTAAAATGATTTCCGCCATTATCCTGACAGCTAGGCTGAGTTCTGTCGCTGTTTGAACGAGAATTTCAGGAGGCGGCTGCTATTAGAGATTAGGAGGAGATTATTTTTACTTACAAGTATTTAGTAATTAAAAAGTGAAACACCAAACCATGAATTGTCGTTGTTAGCCGTCATCACGTCACAAAATATTTTAAAATTCGCCAAGCTAGATTAGGACTGACATAATTTTTGTTCTTGCCCATGTACAAGGCTTACACCCAAACGCGTGTCATTATATTTTTGTACAAGGTTGCTATTCCGCGAATCCCTTTTTGCGGTTGTATACATAGAAAATATAAATAGAAACATATTAATGCTCTGAATCAGTAAAAATACTGATCAAAGACACAAAAATGATTTTCCAAAAAGAAGCACACACATTTCTCAACAAAAAATAAAACTCTTGTATCACATTGCAATAATTTAAGAAAGCGTTTTCACAAAACCTTGAATAGCATATTACAGTATTTACGGATGCACAGTACAACAGTTCTGTACATAAGAAATAAAAAAAATAGCTGTTCCAAAACGCAACACGTACTCCTATTTAATGGTGCACAGCCTCTTCTTGGAAACTTTGTTTCCCATAACGTCAGCTGTGTCGAAAGCAGCGTCGCACCGATTATGAAAATCCAGTTGGTAGGCGCAGTATTAGAATATCACAATGAAATATTCACATTTTCAGTCGAAACTGTTTAACTGTTAGACAACCTTAAACATCTATGACATATCCAGAGACTGCATAGTTTTCTTTCAATTTCTGCACGCATTGGAAGTTAGTAATATAGAAAAATCTATGGCATCGCAGCAGGAAAATGTTTTTGTTATTTTTGCTGGCGCTGTGCCACCGGTTGTTCCACACAGTTATCCCTGAAGCGATAAGCACATGACTTGGCAAATACGCAAAAACGGAGCACGTTCGGCATGACTAGCGATGAAGGCCGGACTGAGGAAAGGATTGACATGGTCAAGGACAGTCAGCAATTTACACGCACCTCTCTCAGTCTATTTTAGCAACAAAATCGCAACATTACCATAAAAAATAATATTAATACGCTCAACTGGAATATAAACGGTATCAACAATAAAAAATTAGAAATAACCTTTTTTCTAAAAGGCAAATCAATATTGCATGCATAACACATTTACGCCCAGACAACTAATTTATCATAGGAGGTTATAACGTAGTCAGAGCCGACATCAAATGCAAACGGAGGTAGTGTGCTAATTCTAATAGGAAAATATATATACCATACATCCAAATCACCCTTCCACACACCCCAGGTAAAACAACTCAGAATATGTTCGTCATGAGATATTTATACCATACAAACATTTTTCAGAAATTCAGGAATGTTTTTCAAAACAATCATGACGCTTATGGCAGATCCTCATGAGGGGCCACCGCACGCATTATTTCTCTGCACGCCTCTCGTTTCGAATCTGTTCATGTTTTGTTTCAATATAAATCCTATCGTCTCGTTTCGCAGTACATGATGTGTGAAACTGTTCAATATTGATACCACACACGTCATTTCTAATTAGCCAGTAATTAATTAATTAATTAATCGAGAATAAAAAGAAACGAGAAAATGTTTAAATTGGAACTCGAAGGCTCTATCCAAAAGCTAAATAAGCTGAGTGCTAATCTTTCAACACATATAAAATTGTAAAACTCTCTGAATTAGAAAAACCTTCCCGTGAAAATGATTTGAGAAACACTGAAAATGTTCGCAAGGTAAGGCAGACTTCTGCCAAATACTCGTTGAATGACGTTTCCAAGAGACGAAGCAACAATACTGAGAGGTTTGGATTTAAAATTTTTGTTTTAAGAATAGTTCGAGGGCTGGCGTTGCCCAGGTATTTGTTCCAACCGTCCCACTAGCTCCGCCCTGCCAGGCTAGGCCATGAGCTACAACGCCTAAGCAACGTGATCTTCCATTACAAATGCTTCTGGGTGTAACTTAATTTGATTTTTATTTTACCAACTGTCATATAATTTCAAAAATAATATTACAAATGCTTTACGATTTGAATGTATCTGCAATTTCAAAACAACTAGTGGTATTATGAAAATGTTTTTGCAAAATAAAATATAATGAGTAATAAATCTTCATATAAAGCATCATTTGACAATAATATTACTGACATCACCAACATTCAAGAATTTTGTACAGAAACAATAGCAAGTCACCGCGATAAAAGTGATAAAACAAAGGAAAGAAAATTGCACTGGTAAAAAAATCTTAGGTCGAGACATTGATTCTTGAACCTCGTCGGTAAATAATTCATGATCGAAATTATTTCTTTACAAAAAGTATAATTAATGGTCGAAAAGTATAATTAATCGATTGAGTTCGTAAGTTTGGAAACAGTTGCTAAAACGGACTGTTTGCGATGCTTGACAGCATCGACACGATTCTCAGCTCCGTTATACTAAAAATTTGCACGGCTCATCGGTAACACGAAGATATAATTCCTTAGATAAATCGCCTCTGATAAGTCATGAGGATATAATTCCTAAACCTTATCAATACAAAATGTTGGAAAGAAATACTCTTACTTGGTTACAATGATTAGAGGTGACATTAGTGAACAATGATCTCGTCAGTAACTCTACTAAAACAGGCAATACACAAGTAACAATATCAGAAATTCCAAAACTATCAGACAAATCCAGAGGCTTGGACTGTGAGACAGGCTATTTCTGAAAAATTAATAAATTAGACAGTCTTACCAATCTGTTGGGAAAAACCGGCAAATGTGGCTCAGAGCATGCCTCTGTCCGGGAGGTCCTACGTTGAGTCTCGTCGGTGTAAAAGTTGTCGACAGTGGCGAAATAGCTAGGTCGAATTCAGCCGCTGTCAGGAGGAGGATTCCAGCGGCCGGCTGCTCTAAACGGTAATTTTCCTTGGTTTCTCCGAACAACACCAGGCTAATACCAGAGCAATACCCTAACAAACGGGTCATAAACCGCGCGCTATCTTTCCTTCATCTTCCTTGTCCTTTCCTCACCTCTTACTTACACGCACATACATGCACTATACTACGCATACCGGGAGACCGGTCGCGAGCTTGGGGCTTCTCCCGGCTGGGGCAGTGCCCCGCTGGTGGGAGGTACGTGGTTGGGGAAAACTCCGCTAGCCGACTGTAGGTCGGCGTCGGATCGCTCTAACCAGCTCGGGCCACCTCCCGCAATAAAATCATACACTATACATACGGGACTATCTTATCAGTTGTCACCAATCAATTAGCTCGGGAAGATCACCGCCACCTCCCGCGATAAAAAACATACACTATACATACGGGACTAATTATCTTATCAGTTGTCGCACGTCTCTAATCGATCACTAAACCGACGGCATTGCAATTCGAGAACGTGGCGGCGCGGGGCGTGCGCAGCGCAGCTGGACGGCATCGAGATGCTGGTGCTGCTGGAGGCGGCGCGGCGCTTCCGCTTCAGCTGGGCCGTGCACGAGCCCGACCCGCACAACCGCTACGGCCGCTGGCTGGCCAACGCCACCGCGTGGGCCGGCGGCATGAACGGCGCCGTCTCCGGGCGGCGCGCGCACCTCGCCTTCTGCACCATGTTCCTCGTGCACAAGAAGGTAAGCAAGCGTGCCAGCGATGGGGGAAGTGATGAGAGGAGAGAAATCGGGAAGCGACAGAAGAGTGAAGGGGCGAGTATCGTTTTAATGCTTAAAAAAATAACAATGTTGGAGAGCAATGGGAGAGTCTCGAATGATTGATTGATTGTTTAGTGATTCCGGCACGTCAACTACAAAGGTCATTAGCAGGGTTGCCAGATGCTTAGTACAAACATTCGCCGTTGGATGGATGTAAAACCGCCCAATAAGAAAATAAATCAACCTTTCAATTTGAATTTTATAGGAATTTTGAATTTGCATTAAAATAATTCTATTACAATTTTGTTGTTTGAGATGGTGACCCTATTAAATGCTAGATTAGTTTTATTAACAACAGTTTGTGAAGTTTGTAATTAATTTTTATTTCAATTATATTTTTGTAAAAATGCTGTAAGTTATAAAATAATTTCCCCCCTTCCACATTTTCACCCGCTTCTTCTTTTAAATATCCACGCATAAAAATATTATCACAGAAATGGTTACATATGTATGTTTCATGCTTATTCCCTGTGGCTTAACGGAATATACTGGCAGTGAAACTGTACTTTAAAAAAAAAGCAACTAATTTTAAATAGTGTGTTCTACAATTAACTCCAAGAACTGCTAATGTTATATAATAATACTTATGATGTGCACGACAAATGAATGAGTTTTAGAACACACCTTATACTAGAGATAAAAAACTAACATTACTCCTTTTTCAAAGTAAATTTGAACAAATTAACAAACAATTAATGAAAAATCCCGTATAATGTAAAAAAACAACTCACTGTCAATGTTATGGTTGCTTTTTGAAAATTTCGTCGTAATCTGAGAATCGGGCTCAAAACCGCACATGTTCTGATGCATTTCCGCTCGTTGGGCGGTATTCCGCGAAGTCAATTTTTGTCCCGCGAGAGAGAGCCGTTCTCCAACCCAAAAAGCGGAATTCCGCCCAATCTGGCAACTCTGGTCATTAGTCACGTAAGTGTAAGGCATGTTTCTGCTCCGGAGGTGGCGGTGACCTGTCCCTAGCTTAGAGGCGAGATCCAGCGCAGATCTACAGTCCTGCGGAGTTTCCCCCAACCAGGTATCTCCCACCAGCGGGGCACCGCTCCATCCGGGACAAGCTCTTAACCCCTGACAGGTCTCCCGGCATGTTTGGTAGTGAAGTGCATCTTAGTGTAAATGTGAGGATATGACTACGAAGAGGAAGGTGAGATCGCGCGCGGGCCATGACCTGTTTGTTAGGGTAGTGCTCCGGGTGGTGTTGATCGGAGAAACCACGGAAAACTATCGATCAGAGCAAACGGCCGCTAGAATTCTCCAGACAGCGACTGAATTCGACCTAGCTAACAAACTGGTGTCGATAATCCTGCCACCATCAGGGCTCAAACCTAGAACCTCCCTGTTAAAGGGTCTGCAGTGACATCAGTTGTTGCTCTGAGCCATGTCACCAGGTGAGGGTCTCAATTATGCCAAAACATTTGAAGGTATAGGGCCGCTCTTGTGCAAACGTTTTTCGCTCTTATACAAACGTTTATTTGAAGCCCGGTGTTCTAATGTTTTGCATTTCCTTACAAAATTCTATTTAGCTTATAGCAACTTTTAACTGAGATGTCAAGCGGCCAACTTACAAAATCAGTATGAGTAATAAAAGTAATCGATATTATATTATACGAAATGGATGAAAATTCCAACAATTGTATTATCTATACTTATGACTTAACGTATTTATTTGATAATTTAACATAAGGAGAGCTTATCTTTTGTAGATAATACAGCATTTTTCGTTTAAAATAAAAAAATGTAAAATTAATGCAAGTATTTAAAATATCCAAACTTTTGACGATATATCATAAATGCCACCCTTGTGCGAAGCACCGCTTGCACTAGGATTGGCGCGTCCCTGAGATTGAAGACCTTGCTCGAAACACAGCCCTTGTCGTACACGGCTTACATCACACACTGAAGACCTTCAGAAATAAAGTAGCCACAGTAACCGTTAAAGTATTTTTTAGGTACACAAACATAAAGAAACAAATATTGAATACTACCTGCTCGATCTTCTTTATTCATGTTAGTTTCAAAGTCCATTTCAACATGTATTCTGCCCTCAGAATACACAGAATGTTCCTGCACGCGGGCTACTTCCACAAAACCTGTTTTTGAACGGTTGTCAGAATAAAAAGGCCACCATCGTTGTGTCTCTTTCGGAAAATGAATACACGGCACTATGTTGATAAAACGAACTCTGTGAAATTGGCTAGCACTAGAAAAAAGTAACTTCGACACATGGATGTAGATCATGGCGCTTGCTTCGGCTCCTACTCTGCAAACTATTTACAAACTGACGCTATAGACATGGAACTTAAAACATATGCTTCGTTGCTACTCATTTCAAGAACTGTTCGTGTCCAGAGATTTCCATAGAATTGTGATGTCACAGTCAGAGAGCATTTATAGCGTAAACACGCTCTTCGAAGAGCTGCAATCTAGTGGTCAAGTAAAGAAACATGCCTTTGATGCACTTTCTTTGGTAGATAGTTGGCGCTTCTTGCCGCGGCGTTTGTCGAAGAGAATTCGCGCGATTTGGGAAACCCTTATTATCTCCGAGGCAGAACTATTAAACATTTACGAAGCTAGATGGATTAGTTCCACATACGGCTTATACATGTACAGACTGTGCCAAATTTCAATACGAAATGCATTTCAAGTGTCAAAAGAAGGTAATGCTACAAAGACGTTTTATAGAAGGTAGTGACGTGAGGTAAAGAGTCAGGATGCAAATTCCTTGTTGCGTTAAAAAACGAGCTACCCTTGACACCCCCGGGGCCTAAAATATTAACAAGCAAAACATTGCGGCACTGATTCCGCCCTCTTCATGCTCTAGCGACGACGAAGTATAAATTCAAAGCTTCTACATTCCATTTTGGGAACAAAAATTGCCTGGGACCGTGATAAACAAGCTTCATCAAAATACTTACTTTACTTTTGTTACTCCGTCTACTTTTCTCACAAATTCTTGATGATTTAAACCGACCCCAGCAAGTGCCCATGGCAATTAAGACCGCGCTACTCCTAACGCAGGTGAACAAAATCCTTTGCAAACAATCTAACCAACACGGTACTTTAAGGAATCTGCTGCAATTAAATTCTTGGCGGCAATGCAGGACGCTTTACCGTGGATGGGTCCGGTTGTTTAATTTTTAGATGACTGGAAATGGAGTCTGGCGGCCAAATTCACTTGTCGTACAACACCAGCATAACAACACGTGACAATTACTGAAACAAACGTAAGATTAAAGTGTCTGAATTGTGGGAATGAGTTGAGATATTCAACTTCAAGAAAATAGCTTTATATGAAAGAGTTGGACGACACGCATGTGACAAACTTTCCTGTAGTATATGTAAAACACCTTAATTGTTTCACCCATTTTTGCACAGAACTGTTTACTGTGAATACGTAAAGGCGTCAAATACCATCTTGTATCCTGTTTTTGGACCCAAACTCGGATGAAATTGTACAGTCTAAAACATTTCCGTCTCTAGCTTGCTCTCTCCTCTCTCGCTGAGTTGAGTTGTTATGAGTGTACCTTGTCTTAATATGATAGCATTTAGTTTTATTTTGTTTTGTGTTATTGCTGAAGATACTTTATGTGTAATGTACGCTATTTATAATTATGTTTTACTGAAAGCAAATTCATTAAGGACTGTGAGTGCAGTTTCTTCGCATGTCACTGTAATTCGTGTCAACATATTTTTCCATTGTTCTCATGAAAGATTCACAGATGGCAAATAATAATCATATATTAAAATGAAAAACTCTTCGTCATACTGGCTTAGGTGGCTCAGAGTGTCAAACTATGTCACTGCAGTGCCTATGATCGGGAGGTCCTAGGGTCCCAGTAACGAAGGCGGTAGGATTTTTGATTGATTGGTTAGTGATTTCTTGCGCATCAACTGCTAGGGTCATTCGTCCCGTAAGTGTAATGCACTTTTATATCGCGGGAGTTGGCGGTGATTTTCCCCCGCTGGCTGGCAAGAAGCGTCGCCGACCTATGCCGAATTGCGGGGATTTTCTACAAACAGGTATCTCCCAGCACCGGGGCATTTTTCCAGACAGGACAAGGTAAATTCCAGACAGGTATCTCGAGAAGGGTGATAGTGTAGAGCATTTATATGGAAGTGTGTGTAAGAGGTCAGGATAAGACAAGGAAGAGGGAGGAAAGATCGCGCGCAGTCCGGGGCCCATTTGTTAGGGTACTGCTCCGGCATTCGCCTAGTATTAATCGGAGAATCCCCAGAAAAGCACCGATCAGAGCAGCCGTTCGCAAGAATCCTCCTTCGGACAGTGGTTGAACTCGACGTAGCTTAAGTCGAAATTTCTACCACCATTGGGACTCGAACTCAAGATCTCAATGAGAGGCAGACACTTATGTCACTTCAGTGACATCAATTAGTGCCCTGAGCCAACTTTTCTGGTAGGATTTTCTAATCTAGCTACATAGCGTGGGTCGAATTCAGCTGGAGGAGAATTCTAGCGGCCAGCTGCTCTGATCGGTAGTTTTCTCGTGTTTCTCCGATCAACACCACGAGAACGCCGGAGCAGTCCCCAACAAACGGGCCACGGACCGCGCGAGATCTTTCGTTTTTTTTCTTCCTTGACCTCTCCGCACCCTTTCCTTACATACACACACACACACACACACACATGCACTACATAACCCCCACACGTCGGGAGATCAGTCGGTAGCTTACAACGTGACTCTGCTGGGACGCTGGTGTAAGACACATGAATGGGGCTAGTCGTCGCAAGCCGACCTGTAGGAAAGTGCTGGATCTTGAAATCAGCGGAGGAAGATCACCGCCACCTCCCGCGTTAAAAACATGCACTACAAATACGGGACTAAAGACCTTCGTTGGCGCTTGGCATCAGTACTCAATCTCTTCCTTATCCGCTCTGACAATGTGCTTGCTGCCCGGCGCGGGCAGCTGCTGACGCAGGACATGAGCGCGCCGTGGGGGCAGAACTGCTACACGTTCCTGGCGCCGCGGCCGGCGCTGCTGCCTGCGTCGTGGCGCTCGCCCGCGCGCCCGCTGCAGGCGCCGCTGTGGGGCGCGGTGGCCGGCGCGGTCGTGGGCGGCGCGGTGGTGCTCGCCGCCTTCGCCGGGGCCACCGCGCGCCTGCGCCGCCTGCCCTACGGTGCGTTTAGCCTCGACTTTCTCTCATTACATGCACACTTCTACCGTACAAAAACAGTAGGGGGGATCGTGGCCGCGTAGGCGGGCATGGTTTGTGGTGGAGGGTTGTAGACTACCACTCTGAGTTTCACGGAGGTACTCACGTCGTTAGCTTTAGGGTACGTAGGCGACGGTTGGCTCGGTGTTTCCGGATTTGCTCGGTAATCCACTCATTGGGCCGATCGATCTTTGGGCATAAGGCGTTCTTTGAAATGTTTCGGATCCCACTAAGTGAAGTCCAGACTGCGACCATGAACCCCCGTGTCAGGTGGGCGGCGCGGTGGTGGGCGGCGCTGTGGTGCTCGCTGTCTTCGCCGGGGCCACCGCGCGCCTGCGCCGCCTGCCCTACGGTGCGTTTAGCCTCGACTTCCTCTCATTACATGCACACTTCTATACAAAAACATTTCCCGCAGGGGAATTCATTTCCCGCAGGGCATGGTTTCTGGTGGACAGTTGTAGACGATCAGTTTTGAGTTTTACGGATTGATTGATTAGTGATTCCGGGCACGACAACTACCAGGGTCATTAGTTCCGTAAGTGTGATGAATGTTTTTTGCTCGGGAGATGCCAGAGATCATTCTCCCGCTCTTCGGCGAGACCCGGTGCCGACTTACCGTAGTCTAGCGGGGTTTTCCCAACCAGGTATCTCTCACCAGCAGGGCACCACTCCAGCCGGGTAACGCTCGTAGCTCTTGACCGATATCCCGGCATGTGTGGTAGTAAGTGTGTGGGTAAGAGGTGATAGGACAAGGAAGACGGAGGTGAGATCGCGCGCGGTTCGTGGCCCGTTTGTTACGTATTCGGCTGGTGTCGATCTGAGAAACCACAGAAAACTACCGATCAGAGCAGCTTGCTGCTAGAATTCTCCTTGAAACAGCGACTGAATTCTTATCCATGTAGCTAGTTTCGAAAATCCTGCCTCCGTCGGGACTCGAACCTAGGACCCCCCGGTTAGAGGGACTGCAGTGACATCAGTTGATGCCCTGAGCCATCTCTCCCGGTGAGTTTTACGGAGGTACTCACGTCATTAGCTATAAGGTGGAGGCAATGAGGAGGCGATTCTAAGCTCCGTGTTGCCGGGTTCGCTCGGTAACTCGCCTGTTTAGCTCCTGGCGCGTCGACTTTTAGGTGGGATTGGCCGTTCTGCGAAATGCTCCGGATCCCACTTATAGGGACCCAGATGGAGACCATGAACCCCCCTATCGGGTTGCCGGCGGTACTCACGTCAATAGCATGAAGATGACTGCAGTAAGGAAACGGGATGGGGGTCCGAGCCGCCCGCACCTTAGTTCGGTGGGCTTCTCATGGGATCTTGGCTTCGTCGTGGCAGTGGCCTAGTACTTTGGGCATGGAGGAGGGACTTGCTCCCGGCGCATTGCATGTGGCAGTTTTCGACTCCGGCACCGGCCTGGAAAGTCGGTTTCTTTGAGCTGGCTGGGCGGTCCGACCCAGACATTAAATGGGAAGGTTACCGGGAGGGTAATCTACAGAAGTCGGAGGGTAACCAAAGGGTTTCGGCGGGATCTTCATACCAGCCTGTCAGTGTACTTGTGCACCGGAGGGGGAGGGCGGTAAAAGGCTAACGCTTAAGTGCCCCCCTCCCTCGGGGTGTGCCCCCCTGTTAGAACAAGGAACAGTGTGGAGTAGTATACAAACTAGCGTACGACTTCTGATGCTTGTCAAGTCTGTTACGATGATGCCCCTAACCTTATAAGCGAACTCCAAATGTTCCAAAATAAAATAAATCTTAAAAATACCCACAAAAACGCCCTGGTTTGTAATAAATAACTCTTTCCACTCGAACTTAAAAAATCCGTCCATCCAAAACTGCGTAAACACCACATTGCGTGACTTCTTTCTTAACAAAATGTTTCATGCATCCTTCATTTTCAGAAATTCTCACAGACCCTCCAACCCCGAGCATAGAAACATTTACCCTCTCCACTTCATCCTCACATAACACCTTGACGGATCTAAATCACTAAATCAATTGGAAGTGCTCGATGGAGTTTCCCCAATAGATATTAACTTTTGCTATGTACTATTTGTATTGGCTAGCTGTTAGTGTATGCATTCCTAGTCTTTAAACTAACACCTGAAAGACCCAAACGGCTGAACGATGAAAAAAAAGCTCTCATCGAAGTTGTTTGTACTAGC